TCCATTCCTCAGTTGATGAGCATTTGGATTGTTTCCAAGATTTACCTATAACGAATTGCGCTGCTAGTACAATTTGTGATAGCCAAATGAGGAAACATTTTGGAAGCAACAAAGATGCCTGTCAGCTGAGGAATGGATGAAAAAGATGTAGTATGTTTATACAATGGAGTATTACTCAGCTATAAAGAATGATAAACTCAAAATCTTCATATATAAGTGGATGCAACTTGAAGAAATACTCATAAGTGAAGTAAACCAGACCCACATGTATAAATATCGTATAGTCTCCCTAGTGTAAGAACTCAAAAGAATAAATAAAAATTGAAAGGTATAACACAATTAAATAGAAAAACTAAAGGATTAAACAATGAAGAGAGGGCAAGGAGAAAAGCTAGGAAACATGGCAGGGGTAAAACCATACATTTATTTATTTATTTATTGGTGGAACCAGGGATTGAACTCAGGCCCTTGCGCTTGCCAGGGAAAACCATACATTTATATGCACAACATGGAAGGCAATGGTCTTGAGAAGCTCCATTAGGTTTTTGAAACTAGCAGTTAATTGGTGGGATTCTCACCCTGACTAACTATATATGCTGGTACCTGTGAACTAAGCAACTGCACTGAAGATAGCAATGTGTAATACTAGGACCATGCTTGGAATGCCTGTCATTCTGGTCTCCTAAATGCAAACTGCTTCTAATATCATATCACTTATTGCTGTACTCTCAAATAAATGTTTGTTATAAAAAAGGTAATAGAAGAAAACAAGAGACAAGAAAGAAAATGTCATAGGACTGTCCTGCTACAATGTTGTGCATGGTTTGATTTCTAAATTTCTGTGTAAAAATGTGTAATTGTTTATTTTTATTTTACTATTTTATTTTTTTCACATTCTATAGGGATTTAAAGTTTAACCTATCAACCATTGTTGGAAAATACCTGTTCCGTGTTATGTCTAAAGCATTTGATATTCAGACAGATAGCGAGGTTAAGTTCAATTGTCTATGTTATAGGGTAATAAAATCATTGTTTCTCTTCTGGAGGGTTAACAACTTAAGTTTGCAGACCAAAAAGTTAGAGAAAAAGAAGGGCTGCAAGGACAGCCAACATTTTGGCCTTAGTCCTTCAAGGTCAATGAGGACTCAGGACATAAGAGAACCTGTACTGTAACATCCTGTAACTCAGTGGTGTCCCAAGTTTTCTGACCAAGGAGATTATGGGGTCACAGAGGAAAGTGATGGACAATGTATAGTTGGCCTAAGGAGAGTCACCTAGAGAGAAAACATTCTCTCAGGCTTTCACAGAGAGTAAATTGGTCAAGCAATGGCCCTGACTCATCCACATGGGTGACCCTGACCAAGGATCTACAAACTGTGGTTCAGGGTTTCAGGGTAAATCCTGAGGGGATTTGACTGACCTTGTCAGCTACAGAAGTTACATTTTTTGTTACATAGGTCTTGCTTTATCTTGATCTTAACTATCCAGCAGAACAGTGTAAACATGAGTTACAAAAGTAAAGCCATATTAATATGTTGAGCTGTGAAAGGCTCAAGTCAACAACTTCTGACATTGCCAGTTCAGTGGATAACCCACTACTATTACAGACTGTTGGACTATATTGGATTATTTTGCTGAATTCATGCACCTACAATATTTGTATAGCAATAGAACACCCATCTCTGACAAAACTAAACAAAAAAGGGGGATATAAATTAAGGTCCTTTTGTAGTGAAAAAAATATATCTGTATATACAAAATGGGAGGGATATACAGCTACTTTCTCTTAGTGCAATGAGAAGAAAGATTTATACTAATAGTGTTCATACAAGATTCATGTCCGCATCTTGTCCTCTGAATAACTACTATGATGACATCAATATGCAATGTATTAATTATTGTAACTGTCCTACTAACCTGTTTTGAAACTGTCTTATTACTATTTCTTTATCAATGAAATTAATTAAAAATATATATATTCAACAAACTAGAAAAAAATTGTGCTGCTATAAACAGGGGTACACTGTTTATATCACTGGTAGCCATACTTTATGGTGACCAGAACACCAGTAGTTCCAGTGGAAAACAACGTTAAGCTGCATCTAGTATGTGTTATAGAATTAGCTAAAAGTATTCTGAATTTCTATTAACCAAAAAATTACACTTTAATCTAGACTCCATTTTATCTTACTGTTGTCTTACTGTGCTAAACCCAGCTGACGTCTTGGGATAGATGTGCTCTGTAAGGGCAAACAGGGACATGGAATTCCACAGGGACATGGAATTCCCCAGCAACATGGAATTCCACAGTCCCTCTGGAGATAGAAAGAGAACGGACACTAGGTAACTCTTCATTTAAAAAAAAATGAGGAAAGTGAATTCCTTCGAGGTTAAGGGATTTGCTTAAGGTCACACAACTCAAGAAGTGACAGAAAGGAAATAGAATTCTTATCTTTTGGTTCTAAGTCTAGCATTCTTTTCAGTTCAGCAACTGTGTTAGAAGCAATTGCTCTCAAGAACTTCCATTTTTGCAGCTAAGACAAGTGTCTGGATCAGAGGTACTAGAAATAGAGAGGTTGTTTGGGCTTTGTTGACTCCTTTCATCCCAAAAGATGGGGCCCCTGTGTTTGTTTTCATTTCTCCAAAACCTCTTTTCTCCACTCTTGCGCTGTCATTCCTGTCAACTGCGCATGACCATTTGCCGTGGTCTGGACTCTTACAACATGTGCCAAGGTATGCGTTGACTGGTGGCTGGGACAGTGGGAGCAGCCCACCTGCCTAACAGGAACGGAGCATCATTTGCTTCACCTTTGACCAGTAGACTATTAGGAGCATGGGAGTCCTTCAGCCGCCTTGTCACTGCTGATGCACACCGCCGCCGTCCACACCTTGAAGAAGGAGAAGTTCATTTTGGCTCGCACTTTCAGGAGCTTTAGCTCCTGACCGCTAGCTATAACACAAATGGCAGGGTGCAAGGGTCTGAGTAGAAGAAAGCTGCTCTTGTGGTGACAGTCAGGAAGCAGAGAGCGGGGGAGAAGCCAGGAACGAGCTGCATGTCCTACCCCGATGCCCAGCAAGCGCCTCTGACTGGGCTCCACCTCCTGAGAGCTCTAAGCTGCGGATCCATCTGTGATGGGACTCTCCCACTGCTGAGGGCATCACCCCCAGGATCCTTTAAACACTTGAGCTGTGGGGGAGGGGGATTTAGCTCTAAGTCACAGCAGAGTATATTATCACTAGCCTTGCTTTTACAGTCCAGAAAATGCAGACAACAAAAATCCGACTTTTATTCATCTTTGTTATTGTTTTAAATTTTCAAATAGCTATTATCTTTCCATCGTCCTCTATAATACAGACATAGACTAAAGGAGAGGATTCCCCTAAGCACTACTTCTATGTTTAACTTTCAGTTTCTTTGGAAAGTTTCTCTCCTGAGAGAGGAGAAAGAAAGGAAACAAAGCACAGCTAAACATTTGAAAGCACATGTTCTTTTTTTCTAGTAAGAAACATTTACATTATATATGAATTGCTTAATACATCTCAAAGTATCACAACTTTGGTAAAGTGATTGGTCTGAATTTCTAAAAATGTTTTAAATCTTTATTTGGTAAGGTGTCTCGCTACACAGCTCAGACTCATAGCGATTCTCCTGTCTCAGCCTCCCCAGCTCTGGGATTACAGGTGTGTGCCACCACACATGCTTTCACTGACTGGCCAGTGCCGCGCAGGCATGGCATGGCATGAGGTACTTAGGATCAAACATGCGTCCTAGCGCTTGCCAGGCAGGCACTTAGACCGCTGAGCTCTCTCCCCAGCCTGGTCTGAATTTTTATGGGACATTAAACTTAATGTGTTCTCCATGAACAAAAACATACTTGTCACTGGGCTTGTAGAGGAGTGTGCCTTTCATGCATTTTAGGTGGAAGGCGGGTTGCACAAGGACTGAGACAGGCGAGGTCCAATCTGGAGAAACGACTAAGGCAGGATACTTAAGCTGGATAAGCGTCAGGTTATTTCTCTGCACAATGGCACAGAGTAGCCACACTTACTCACAGTCAGTAGAGAGGTTCTGGCCGAGCTCCGGGTGGGCACACGCGTTAAACAATAATGAGTCAGCAGTACTGCTGCCATCACTGTGCATTGGCTGAAAGCTAACATGTTTCAGCAAATGTTTTCTCGGATATGAAATTCTTCATATTTTCCTTATTTCTCTCAGATATGAAACATGAAGACAGAGCTACAGGTATTTAAGGACACAACCTCAACTTGGTGATTATTTTTATTCAGCAAATTTCTCCAAGGGCACTCACTGCATGGCGACCTTCTTTAAGAAAAATGGCGTAAGGCTTCATTAAGATTTCTACTCTTAACGTGTCAGTACTGCGCACGGAGAGGGAAATGTTGTGTCTCTCAGCATAGATCAGCTATAATCTTAGAGTTTCTAGCTGTTCAGGTTGACACTAGAACAGAATGGTAGGTAAAGCACTGTCCTGGGTTGGGAGTTTTGCATTTCAACTTCTGTCCTTGTGGAATCTTGGACTTAGCTCCACAATCTCATTTTCAAGCTTGATAATACAAAGCAGTTGAGTTAGATCATCTTCCAAACTCACTTCAGCACTCCTACACTATGATTTTTAATAACTCAGTGTTTAGTATTCTACTAGCCTGCTTTTCCTCAAGCTTTCAAGTTTTAAGCTTAAATACTTTAAATCCAACAACTGAGATTTAGTAAGCAAGTACCAACTCTATTTAAAGGGAGACTTATTTAAAAATGTGTTTTAATTTAGAAAGTAGGGGTGAATTTAAAGTTTCATGGTATGTAGTGAAATCTGGGTCTAAATATTTCTTTTTAATAGCAGGATAAACATTTGAATATTTTCTCTTAAGATACTGTATGACTTGGAAAAAGCGTTTAAGAGTCACTGAAACACTTTTTATTTTTTCAAAAACGAAGCTGAAACTATAACCTAAATTTTTGAATACGATCAAAGTTTTTGCATATTATTTTTAATGCGGATCATTTGGATTTGTTCTAAAAGAATTACAGCAGATTAAGTTGTTCATAGCGTAGAATCAATAGCACATAACCATCAACAACATAGAGAACACTTTCATGCAATATGAGTAAGTAGATGTAGCCATACTTGAGTATCTGGAGCCATAAGAAATTCAGATGTAGTTTTTAATAATTGTAATGCAAATTAGTCAGATGACTAGAACGGCATATAATACAGAAATCTCCAAAAACAAATATACTTTATAATTCATTTATAAACTAAATTACATACCTGTTTTCCCTTAGTAGTTTCAGGCCAGGTAGAATCAGTTTTAAAAAGTAGCCAATAATTATACACTGATTTTGCTTTTTCAGGAAAGCTACTATTTCAGAGAGAAATGTGTCTTAGTTGCGTCTATTAAAATAAACTTACTAATTTGTTGGGAATTATCTGAAACTCCGCCTTTTCTAAACGCGAGGGAAGCTAGTAAACAGTGACTTATGTGATGAAAATGCTCTCCGGTATCACACAGCGTACACATTTTAAAAGAGTAGGAATTAGAAATCCTTAGAGCAAATAGGCGAAATAATCCCTCTGACACAGTGCAGATGGTGGCTATTCAGGTAAGGAAGAAACTTCGGCGATACAGCACGCATCCGTGCCCACGCACCCCTTCAGAACCATGACGTATACAACCGCTTGCTTGATCTACAAAACTGTGTTCGATTAACTACAGTTTACGCTCTTAGACGTTTACAAGCCATGCACGGCCTTTCTCTTTTCCATAAACATTTGGCTCCTCATCATACATTCATTCCACTTCCCTTCCAACAAATGTCCCTTACAATTTCTAGTCAAGTTTTAGACTGAAGAAACTTGGAATTGCTATTGCCCTGTCAATCTCTTAGTTAGGGTCCTAATGTCAGGACTTCGCAGTAAGAAACACACACACACACACACACACACACACACACACACACACAGGGCTGTTCTACTAGGAATCCACCTAGGCAAATGAACAGCAAAGAAGTAAAAAGTAAAAAACCAAAATGTATCCGTGTAGGTTATTGTTTCAAGACAGTTTAATATTTAGGAAATGTCACACACACACACACACACACACACACACACACACACACACGGCACACACTCTCCTTGGGATCCAGTTACAAGCCCTGCGTCATCCACCAGATCACATGGTAATTGTTGGTATTTCAGGGATCAAGTGGCATAAAGCTCCCCCCACCCATCCCACTCCCTTCTTTGGGGACCATGTAGCGTGGCGGAGCGCGTCTCGCGTGATGGAGTGAGGGCAGGCTCGGCTCCGACCGGCCGCAGACGGCGCTGCGCGGGGCACGATCTCCCCGAGAGACCGGCGGCGGCGGGCGGGCGGGGGTCTCGGGGGAGGACGGCGGCTCTAATTGGTCTCTGAATGAAAGAGAATCACCTATTCCCGGGAGAGGCCGGGGCTGAGCGCTGCCTCTGCTCTGCGTCGCGCAGTCTCCTCATCCTGCCCTCGGAGCTTCCAGCCCATTCCGCGGCTGGGCTCGAAGCCGGCGCCCCGCACGCCCCGGGGCCGCGTCCTCCGCCCCGCGCCCCGCGCCCCGCGCTCCGCCGTGCTCTCCGCTCCGCCGCCGCCAGAGAAAAAGTTTCTCGGAGGGGCTCCGGGGCAACATGAGCGAGCTGGAGGAAGACTTCGCCAAGATCCTCATGCTCAAGGAGGAGCGGATCAAGGAGCTGGAGAAGCGGCTGTCAGAGAAGGAGGAGGAGATCCAGGAGCTGAGGAGGAAGCTGCACAAATGCCAGTCGGTGCTGCCCGTGCCCTCGCCCCACATCGGCCCGCGGACCACCCGCGCGCAGGGCATCTCGGCCGAGCCGCAGACCTACAGGTCCTTCCACGACCTCCGCCAGGCGTTCCGGAAGTTCACCAAATCCGAGAGGTGGGCGCTGCCCGGGGCGGGGTGCTCGGCGCTCGGCGCCCCTGCTCGCCGCGCTCGCTCGCGGGGTGGGGAAGGAGAAGTGTTTATTTTTATTTCTGCCATCACGTGCTGTGCTTGTCTCTGCCGGGCTGGGAAAGGCGAGCTCCTCGGGGAGTCGCGCCCCGGTGGGGTGGGGGCGGGGACAGGACCGCGGAAAGTTTTCTCCCGCCGGCTGACTCGCAGATCCGCACTCGCCGTCCTTTGTGCGCCTCAGTGGGGGACCCTGCCCATCCGGGGGCCCGCTGAGAGGCCCAGAGGCACCCCGCGGGGCAGGCTCGGAGCGTCCTCCCAGGGAGGGGCGCCAGGCGGCCACACAGGGCTGAGTTCATTTTAGGACCTGAACTTGTCCCGAGCCCAAACTCCGTTCGAGCGCGCAGGGCCACGGGCTGGGGCGGGCCAGGCAGGGGCTGTCACCACCGCGGGGATTCAGCCTCCAACAGGGCGGAGCGGGGAGGTTTGTTCACCGGGTGACATCCACGGCAGCAGTGAGGTCGGCAAGAAATTGTAAAGAGCCCCACTTTCTGGATGTTCATTCTGTGCTGTGCCCCTTGCCGAAGTGCCACTCCTTGGGTTGCTCAGGGCTTGCAGGTGGCTAGGTGACCTTGGACCTGAAGCAGACTTAAGTGCTCAGCCCCGACCCAAGGGGGACAGTGCATTCTCTCCGATCTTGGTCGGGAAGCCCTTCCTGGAAAAGTGGGCAAAGGGAAGGGGGCGGGCTGCTGCTCTGGGCGCCTCCGGGCGCCTTCCTGGGCTCCTCGCGGGCATTTTAAGAGCCAGATCCTGCCAGTTCAAAGTTGCGCGTCGCTCGTCGGTGTGCGCAGAGGAGGCTGGGCGGACTTTGGCCGCAAGTAGGAAGCTTTTGCACTCACTCCGCCGTTCACCGGAGAAGGCAGATCGATGGCTGCAGCATTAAAGCGCCTCTGGACATTAGGGAGAGGAAGTGGAGACTCCAGAGCCCATTACGGGCTTTTAGTCTCTGGAAGCGCAGGGCCAAAAGTGCATTTCTCAGGATATTGAATATTCCATTAGGCTTGCCTTCGCTCCCGCCTACCTCTTACCCCTTTCCTCCTCTTAGATCACTTGGTGTCTGAGTTTGGGGCCCTCTGGGGACTCCTAAACTATCTCACTTTGAGGCCAGCTCTTCTCCAGCCCTCCAGGCCAGTTCCTGCTCTCAGGGGCCCTGCTCCTGCACTGCTCCTCCTCCCATGTGCTTCGGGACTCTGCCTCGGGTACTGATGGTAGCTGGGGGTGGGTGGAGGGGAACGGCAGAGGTCAAGGACCGGGAGAAGTAGATTGGAAGCTTCTAGAAGGGTGAAAGCTGGGGGGTAGCAAAACAAGAATGAAGCCGGAAGGATTCGCCCTGGGAAATGTGAGCCTTTCTGAACGGACGTCTCAGAGGACAGCTTTCCGATTTCCTGAGTCACATTCCACTTCCAAGCTACACTGTCCAAATAGTACCATTTGCCCCAACCTGCCTTGAAAGTTCCCGGTGACCTGAACAATGGCACTCTCTTCCTCCTCTCGCGCTAAGATTGCAAACAGCTAATATTTGGCCTAGCCCTCGCCAGGGAAGCTGCTGCCGTCTCCCTCAGCCGGGCTGCGCATTCCGCGGCCGCTGCCCTGCCCAGCGCCCGGCAGCTGGAATCAATCTGCCCACCTCCTTAAGAAGCCACTGCATCAGCGGTCACCCGGCAGCTGCTCGCCTCCCAGGGCTGCCGGGTTAGGGCTTTATCGCATTTTTGAAATTTCAGAATTCTGTGTCTGGGCTGAGACCCTCAGAGCAACAGCACTTCTGTGCAGCAGAGAGTAGGTTTCACAAGGATGTGAAGGGTGTGAAGACTGGAGAAACCTGCCTTCCCAGGGTCTGCTTCTCCAGGCGCCGGCTTGCAGAGATTTCTCCACAAGGAATCTCTAAAGAGGAAGGGGGACTTTCATGTGTCCTGAGAGGAAATGGCTGATCATCGATAGGTACCCGTCCTCCTATTCCTCTCCCTGTCGTCCCTCAGCCGTACCCCCTTCCTTACAGGCTCGTGGTGGGGGTAGGAAAATTCATCTCCAGAATGGTTCATGTGTGCTGGAGGTCAAATGCATATTTGTGACCGACACAAGTAGCTGGAGGACTTTTCAACTTCCTCTCTTCCCTGATTTACACTGGGACCCAGGCTAAACTGTTTCCCATTCAACAGTTAGTTTCATAGTTTCAAATGGAAGCATGGAGTTTATTTTCTGCAAGGTGACTCATTAATGTTTAAAGAATGTTGACGGTTATATCCGGGGACAGTAACCATCGGAACTGGCTCCTCACGTTAGTGCTTAGACCATACTAAACTATCTCTGGCTAGACCTCTTATTTTGGGCAAGGAAAAATGTGCAGTAATTTTTGAGATATAAAATTTAAAAGCAAGTAAGATGCTTTCAAAATAAGTATATTTTTTAATTTTTCAGATTTTTGTATTTCTGAGTCTTTTGTTAAAGGATGAGCCGTCTGGATCCTGGAACTGAACAGAGTGCTGTAGTGCATAGCTACCGTTCAATTATCATAACTCCAGAATTTGGATGATAACTTTTTGTGCTACAGGTTCATTCCAAACTTTATTAGAACACTGTTTTTCTACAAAGAAGGAGAGGAATGTAGTTTGAAAACAGGGGTTTAGTGGTGCAAAAAATAAGAGAACTGTTTCCTATAAACACTGCTTTAGAAAAATTCCACAATCTAAAAGGTTTGCATAATAGGTGACAAAAATATCTGAAGCATTTATTATAGTGGAAGGAAATGGGAGACTTCATAAACTATTGTAATCAACTCAGTCCAATTAGCCGGGTTTCCATGAGTCCACAGAGGGCATAATGCACAATCTCCATTAAGAATGATCTAAGTATCCAAGGAATGCTTAGACGAAAATTATACCAGGGAAAAGCAAGATCTGAGCTCTCAACGTAAGTATCAAGTGTGCGATATGATGATCATGTTTAAAAAGAACACACCCGACTCATTGCAGCCCTCATTTGCAGGCCCCTTAAGAAATGCCCATTAAGGATCAAGTGATTATCGTTGAAAACCGTAGGCTGCTTCCAATGATGGCAATGATACTTTATATTTATATCTAAAATGCTTTATGCCAAAGAGCTCCAAATATTTCACATAGATATCTATGAACTTTTGGTCCTTTTGTGCACACATTCTGCATCAAGAATCACCTAATACCCAGAATGCTTTCCCTTAAGTTTTTGCACGCACTTAAATTCCTTCTTTTTGTTGCCTAGTTAGATAGGTTGTGCTCAGGGGACTGAAAATAATTTTAAATTAGCATAAGCAAGGGCTCGAGTCCATATTAATTTGTTAAAGGAATAATAATAGACTGTATTCCAAAGACTCTTGAGCTATTTTTGTTATAAATCCCTTGATTCTTGATGTTGTAAGTTGATCATTTAGAACTTGAACTTCTTTCCACTGGGATGTGGGTGCTTTGGGCTGGATGCCCCAGAAAACTCATTGCCTTTTACATCTTTGATTTAATTCAGGGCTGGTTTGACCTTCAGACTATATCAAGGGGTTTGGCCTAATTTTGAAATAAACAGCTTCAATGAAATAGTGTGTTAGTGTGTCCCGGAGGAATTCTGGTCTCAGCACCAATTATTTATTGTTTGCTTAGACTGAAAATGTACAGTGCTTTAAATAGAATGATAGCAAGGATAAAAATAAAAATAGATAATCTTAGTCGTAGTGCTCTTCTAAGCTGTTACCTTATGCAGTTCATTGTTTTCTTGTGATGGTTCTGAATCATATTGCCATTTTACAAATGAGAAGCCAGAAGACATTTCAGCATTTGCTTACTCTCTTACATCTACTGTAAACCAGCTTGAAGCCCAAGTCTGAGTGTTTCTAGAGTTTAAGTTGTAAATTTCTACACTATCTAGCCTTGGAATGAAGAGGACTGGTTGGATCTTAGTGACAGGGAAATTCTGTGCACTAGGAAGACATCAACTTGTCCTAAATGAAAACAGGATTTAAAAGTCATAGGACCAGCACTAAGCTGACCTAACGAAAAAGTGACCGATGAGTTCTTGTACCCAGCGCTTGCAGTTTAGGTGTGCAAGGCCTGGCTGGAATTTCCTCAGGCAGCCTTTCTCTTGGGATTGGCACTTAACAGGCTTCTGTCTTCCTTCCTCCCCCACTTTCTATAGCTCACTGTCATTGTAGAGCCACAGTGGATAAGCAGCACAACGAGGAAGGGTGTGAAAATTATCTTGAGCCCTTCCTTTGGGTTCCTTGTGCCTTTTGCAAAGGCCGTCAGGCAAACCCTTTCATCTCCACCATTGCTATCACCAGCCTACAATATGTATTAATATTTCACTTCTTCTGATTAACATGGTACGACCCTAACGGGAGCCTTGGGGAGAGGGAATTCAGTTCATTGACTCACATGATTAATATTTATGACAAGAATTTAAGGAGAGACAAGCTGAGGAAGAGGGGGATGACGCTTAGGGAGGACAGTTGATAAACAGCCTTATGTCTTGCCACATGTGGTCTGAGAGGACAGGCATGTGGATAAGCACTTTGTGTATCCATGAAGAGCTTTCAGTAAGAGCTCCGCAGGGGGTAAGTAGCTCCCCAGTGTAGGGATGAGAAAACTTAATGCATCATGGAAGTTCTTTGTAAAGGATCTCAGAAATCAGATGAGACTGAAAATCTAGATTTCTTCATTTTGCATCTGTACCAGAGTCGGTAAATTCATGTCTTTGGTTTACCCTCTATTTATATTTATTCTTTAATATACTTTGTTTTGAGTTTAGCGCTGGTTCTAGAATCCTAGGCATTTTCCAAATGTAGCTTCAGTATACAGAAAGTTCTTACTCCACTCAAGTCATCAATACATGGGTCACTTGAAAGTTGACATTGACCATATGTTCTGTAGAGATTCCTCGTAACACTACTTCGAACAGACCTGAACAAACAA